CTAAATTTTCTATAATAATCTATTAGTTGTTTTAATATTTAAGAAAATGAATAAGCCAATGAGAAAGTCTTGACAAATTTCAAAGATTGGAAAATATATGTGTTGCATTTTATGATCCCAATGCTATAGAATGTGAACCAGAAAGTTTTACCCCAACATTTCTGTCCACTTTGACATTTAAATATATTATTCTCAATAATTGCTGGGATAGAAAAATTTCAAAAATAAAAACAGCAAGATATTTACAAATGACAGTAAGGGTTTATACATACAATTCTGGAATATGCAGCCATGTGTATAATCTTATATGCATTCATTAGGAAATGTGATTACAGAGAAATGAACATTCAATGCAAAGGGCAAAAATAATATAAAGGAAGTAGAAATTTTATTAAAGATAGAGAGATATCAATGAAATGGAAAACAAGATGCAGTAAAATACATCAATAAAACCAAAAGCTATATCATTGAAACTCTAAGAAAATAGAGTAACATAAATAAATTAAAAAAAAAAAAAAAAAGAAAATAGAGTAACATTTGTCGTATTGTCATCAACGGAAATAGAAAAAACACAAACAACATTGGAAATGAGATGGGGACATAACTGAAGATGACTTAAAATTTTTTAAAGAAAAGTTATACAAAGCAATGCCAATAAGACTGAAAAATATACATGGAATAGACTGTGAAGAGATGTTTTAATGATAATTGACACAAAATAGGTAGCGAACCCAAATAGACCAGTAAACATAGTGAAAAAGTTAAAAGATAATCACCAACTAATCCCATTCTGTGTTTTTTTGCTCTTTTAAAGAGACTGGATCTCTCCCTCTGTCGCCCAGGCTGGAGTGCAGTGGTGCAGTCACAGCTCACTGTAGCCTCAAATTCCTGGGCTCAAGTGATCCTCCTGCTTCACTCTCCCCAAGTAGCTGGGACTACAGGCACATGCCACCACACTGGGCTAATTAAAAAAACATTTTTTTTTAGAGACAGGGTCTTGCTATATTGCCCAGACTGGTCTTGAACTTCTGTCCTCAAGCAATCCTCCTGCCTCAGCCTCCTCAGTAGCTGACATTACAGCAGGAGTCAACATGCCCTGCCAAGCCCATTCAGTTTTATGTGTGTGTTCTACAAAACATTTCAGGAATCGAGAAGACTGGCATTATGCTAACTGTTCCAGAACATATGAAAAATGGAAAGCTTCTCAATCTGTCTATGATACTAGCATACATCTGATATTAAACCTAGAAAAGGAGAACCCAAGAAATCTATGGGCCAGTGGCAATGTATATTGCTTTTTAAATGAGGAAACATTATTTCAAATATGATAATACATCTTTTCATGTTATGTGTTACATGTGTGTGTGTTTCCAAAGGGAGCAAACTAACTTTTTGTTTGTTGGTTATTGCAATTCTCCAAAGCCTTGGCCAGGTAGGCAGGTAAATTCACTGAAGATTAAATCTGTGTGGGTGTAAATTTTATGGTGTTCAGGGACCTCAAGCCTAGTCACAGATCTCAGAAATGTGTATCTCTAGATATAAAGGGAGCAGACAGAGGAAGACAAGTTAGATTTCATCACTTTTTCTAGGAAGACATCTCTGTAAGTGGTGGCCGAGTTAGAACCTGTACATCTAGATTCTAAGCACAGAAAAGATACATTCATTTAACTGTTGGAACCATAGAAAGAAAATCATTTTTTTAAATGACAAAAGTATATATCATTATTATGTTACCAAAACACCAGAGGTTCAGTCCAGGTCCTGCTGCTTGCTGTACAGAAGGCCAATCACTGAGACAAGTATTGCCAGAGAAGAAGGCTTTAATCAGGTGCTGCAGCTTAGGAGATGGGAGATCAGTTTCCAATCCATCTCCTTGACTGACTAACATAAGTGTTTATATAGCAGGGAAGAAATGTAATCATGAGTGGAAAAACAGGAAACAGGGAGGGATAAGGAAGAGGAGTTGGTCAACAGGAAGCAGATAGGGCAAGGCAGTTATGACAGATGAGGGGTCTGATGTCTCATTGTCCAGATGCAGTGATCTGGTGAGTTTGAGCTCCTTGACACTAGCTGGGAGCCCTGATGGTTGGTTTCCTTAGAAAGGAACTCAGATAAGACAAATGCAGCTTTCTCAAGTTTTAAAACTGGGAGGTCGATTTCTCTGTTTTTTCAAAGAAACCATTAACATAAGCTCTTTGGGACAATTGGGTCAGTTTCAACTGTAGAAAATTTTGAGTATGCAAATGAAAAGAAAATGAAAACCTCTTGGAATTCCACCGCTGGTAACATTTTGATGTGTGTCATTCCAGCCTTCTCTGCTGGTGATTGTATGTGTATTTGTGTGTTTTACAACAGTGTGAGTAAATCACAAAATTGTTTTGTTGTCTGCTCCCCCTGCCACCAGTATGTCATGAACATCTTTCCGTCTTATTAAATAGTCATGTAACTGCCTGTTCCCTTATTCCACTGTCTCTCTCATCATTTATGTCACTGAATTCTTATGTTAGAACTATTGATCCCCTCTTTTTTACACTACAGATTATTCATGTAAAAATCTTAGATACAAAATGGTTTTTGTGTATTTCCAAGAAAAACAAAATTAAGCCCTGAGCAACATAAACATTTGAAATGAAGTTCTTTAGTTAGAAACAGGTGTATGATTTTTAAAGACCTCTTTAGGGAAAGGGGAAACCTTTATAGAAAACATTTTTTTCATATTGTATGTGTCAGTGTAAGTGACAGAAATCTCATCTAGAATTCAATGTAGCAAAAAGGAAATTTATAGACAAATGCATCAGTTATCCATTGATCCTGTAATGTGGCAAAACAATCAACCACAAAACATCAGTGACATACTAAGAAGCATTTATTAAGTGCATAAGTGTGGTGTTTAGCTGATCTTAGCTGGGCTCGCTCATGCCCCTGTGGGCAGTGTCTGGGTAGTTCTGCCCACAGGGGCATGGTAGTTCTGTGGCTAGGTAGTTCTGCTGACTTTGGCTGGGCTTGCTCACGCATCTTGGGGCTGCTTGGCTGTTGGCTAGGACAACTTGGTTCTATTTTATATTTCTCATCTTCCATCAGGCTAGATTGGGAATATTCTAATTGCTATGGTAGAGGAAAATGAGCAAGAGAGTAAACATACGTGTTGCTTAAGGTGTCTGCTTACTTCACATTTGTTATCACCTTCCTGGACAAATAAAGTCACATGACTGAACCCAGCATCACATTGAGAAAACACTGCCAAGACATACATAAAAAAAGGAGTAAAAAATTGGGAGCTTTAATGCAATCAGTCACCTGGCATATGTAACTAAAATGGCCGGGGAACAGATGTATAGATGATAGATGATGATAACTTCTATGACTCCTGGATCTAGAGTATGAAGTGATGTCACCTGGTTTGGTTTCACACTCTTTGAAGTTTAGCTCTGGTTCCCTTTGTATTCTCTTCACCCTCAGGGAGGCCCTTTCCACATTGTACTACTCACAGCTCTATCTTGAAAGTAAGGAATTCCAGCTGAAGAGCTTATCTTTCCCAGCTGTTCCCACTAGAATCATAGTATGGAGTCTTGTTGGACCAATGTGGGTCACATGCCCATCACTAAACCATACAATATGATTGTTGACCAGGTGTGGGTCATGTTCTCACCCCTTGCACCATCCAGGATGGTGGAGTGAAGGGAGTCAACCTTACCTAAACACAATGAACTGTGAATAGGGGGTTTGGAACAATTTCTCTAAGGAAAATAGTGACAGTATTATCAGATAGTGTGTATTTGGGAGAGGGGAAAGGGATGAATGATAGGCAGGTGAAAATAAAAGATACCCCTGTATATTGCTATTAATGTACTTATCTCATTGAGACACTTACCTTCAAAATCTATTTATTGACTATTTGATACTAGGCACAAAACTAGGTGTTTTATAAACATCATCTTACTTATTTCTTACAATACTAGATGGTATTGTAAGATCTCTTATTGTTGTAAAGCTGAAGAAAAATAAAATACAGTAAAGACTTCCTAAGAGGAAGAGCAGGAGGCCATAATGCACCCCATTAAGGCCATATAGGTGCTAAAATTGAAGGGATACTCACAATGCTGTAGCCCCAGCTACATAAAAATCTTCACTAATATACTTCAGTAACCATGATGGGAACTTCTTCTCCTTTGCCATTTCTGTACAGACATGAAGTGGTTAATATGAATATTAAGGTCAACCAAAATGGGAAATAATTCTCAAGAGGACAGCCTGAAAGATATGTGTGAAAGGGAAACGAGATAGGACTGTTGTTTTCTCTGGTAATATCATTGAGGATCTGGCTATGTGTTTAGGCATCCCATTGGTTGAGTTACCTCTTTTTCTTCTAACTCCAGGATAGCCAGTAGGTTTGAATTCATGTGTCAATGCCAGTTGATTGGTGGTAAGCCATCTAGAGTGTTGTGTTGAGAAGAATTCTGAACCTGTGGAAAAGAGGACTGTGATAGATTAGTGATGTTTGTAATGAGTACAGGAGGCGAAGGTAACAACATGAATGCCAAATATTTGACATCGCAGGAAGCAGCAGCTTCTTAGAGTCACTTTCAAGCCACATATGTATGGGGGTTATGCCCCAGAGGAGGGGTCTTTTTATAGTTAAGGTCTCCATGATGGGGAATTCCGTGGGAATTTTCTGGAGGTTCCAACTCTAACCTTAGCACAAACCAATATTGAGAGCTTCATTTTCCTAAGGAATAGACCTTATTTTTCACTTTGAGAATTTTTATCTTGCTTAGGGGCAGGGTGGGGGGAATTTATAAAACTTTCACCTGTAGTAGTAAAGTTTTAGAGTTGCTTTTCTTTCTAAATGAATATTATGGGTGTGGCTCTTTCTATCTGTCTATTATTAATCACCTATCTTCATAGGTTCATCTATTATTATCTTTATTTATATATTTAAAAATATACAGTTAGAGTTCTAAAGAATTTTGTTTTTAATTATTCTTTTTTTCACTCTGTAGATCTTTGAGTGGAGTTATTTTCTGGTACGGACTGTGAAAAGAATGTGGTGAAAATTCTGGACAATCGTGGAAATATTAGCTCAAACCCCAACTTAGTATAGCATTTCTTCTCTTCAGTAACACCTCATAATACAAGAAAAATGTATGGAAGTGCAAGAACAATCACCAATCTGGAAGGTAGCCCTTCCAGATCCCCTCGTTTGCCAAGGTCTCCTCGTTTGGGCCACCGAAGAACAAGTAGTGGGGGAGGTGGAGGAACAGGCAAGACTCTGTCTATGGAGAATATCCAGTCCCTCAATGCAGCCTATGCTACGTCTGGACCCATGTATCTGAGTGATCATGAAGGGGTGGCTTCAACAACTTACCCAAAGGGCACTATGACTCTGGGAAGGGCTACGAATCGAGCTGTATATGGAGGCCGTGTCACAGCCATGGGGAGTAGTCCCAATATTGCTTCTGCTGGACTTTCCCACACAGATGTCCTTTCATACACAGATCAACATGGTGGGCTGACTGGCTCATCCCATCATCACCACCACCAGGTCCCCTCCATGTTGAGGCAGGTAAGAGACAGCACAATGTTAGATCTTCAGGCCCAGCTGAAAGAACTGCAGAGAGAGAATGACCTCCTCCGGAAAGAGCTCGACATCAAGGACAGCAAGTTGGGATCTTCCATGAACAGTATTAAGACTTTCTGGAGTCCTGAGCTGAAGAAGGAGAGAGTGTTGAGGAAAGAAGAGGCAGCGCGGATGTCTGTCCTCAAGGAGCAGATGAGGGTTTCCCATGAAGAAAATCAGGTAGGTCCTGACTCATCTCAGTATTTTTCAGCCTTGGCTTCTCACTGAGTAGTTGATGCTTTGCAGATGGTACCACGACCTGTGCAGAAGAAAGTTTGGCATCATCAAGAAGTTTATGGCTTAGTATGTGTTTGACTTGGACACTATGAGAGAGCATAGGAAATATACCATTACAGCTTGTGATTTCCTTATTTTCCAATAACCTTTTCACATGGTTGCAGATGGGGAGAGGGGTGGGGTGGGGAGGATCACTCCTCATTGCCTAACTTTTGTACTTGGCTAATTTTGTTTTCTTTTTCAGCAGTTGCAACAGCTGTTCAGATGTACCTCCTTCTGAATAGAAGAAGAAAATGTTAATTTCTGTAAGAACAAACACTTTAACGGCAACATTTAGAGGGCCACATTTGACTGGTGAATTGATTTTTATTTTTAAGCACCAGCACCATTATTTCCTTCTAGAATGAGTGAAGTTGGTTCTCTAAGTAGCAAATTGAACAATATGAAATGGAATTGGATCAAATGGGTTTGCTTTGTTAGAGATACACAATAAATTTTAACTTGGTGTTTTTGCCTTCATCCATTCAGCATTAATTAATTATCAACTATGTGCAAGTCACCTTCATACTCTTCTTTGATCCATCCTTCATGCCACAGGAAGAACAGGTTCCTGGTGTCTATCTGCAGTTATGCTATTTTCCTGCTTTAAAGCCCTCAGTGATTACTCATTGCCTCCAGAATAAAGTCTACCTTCTTGACTGAGCCCATAGCACTTCTACCAGAAGGCCTGGGCCAACATTTCCAGCCTTTTCTTGTGCCACCTCCCTCCACATCTGTGCTTTCTGCATCACTGCCTGGTAATTCCTGCACACACCCAAGGTTTTGCACTGCCATGCCCTTGCTCTTGCTGCTCCCTTCCACTGGTGGCCTTCTCAGCACCTGCTTTTCCTGCCACCTCTCTTTCAATCCCAGCCAGTCTTCATTCCCAAATCCTACCTATTCTGTCAGGCTTGTTTTTTTATGCTGCTATTTTCTTTCTTTTCTTTTTTTTTTTTTTTAATGCCTACTCTATTTCCTAAAATGCTGCTATTTTTATAAGAGCTTTGGAATCAGACATACCTGGGTTTAAACTCCAGCTTCATATCTCTCTCTCTCTATCTCTCTCTCTTTTTTTTTCAGAGACAGGGTCTTGCTCTGTTGCTCAGGCTGGAATGTAGTGATGTTGATCATAGCTCACTGCAGCCTTGACCTCCTGGCTCAGATGATCCTCCACGCCTCAGCTTTCTGAGTAGCTGGGACTACAGGCACATAGTACCACAGCCTGCCAATTAAAATTATTATTTTTTCTGTAGAGACAAGGTCTTGCTATTTTGCCAAGGCTGGTCTTGAACTCCAGGCTTCAAGGAGTAATTCCAAAGTTCTGGGATTGCACACCTGGCCCCAGCTTTATCTGCAGTTGGTGCTTATAGAAGTGCTAAGAGCTGGGGCATAGGGAATGTGATACCACATGGCTCAAAAATTCCCAGATATTATTTAACTTTCTGAAGGAAATTGACATAACTCTAAGTTGACTGAACAAGTGATTTTCCAGTTACTGGCTTTGATGTTGGTCTAATGAAGTGCTCTGCCTTTCTTGGAGTCATCTGCTGACCCTCCTAACTGTTTCCCTGGCAACTTCTCCTTTGGAGTTTAAGCGCCTGTAGGAGCATTTGTGATCTATATGAAAATCTGCCTTTTGTCCTTCTTCTATGTGTAGAAAACAATCACCTTATCCTTTTGATTATCTAACAGAGCCAAAGCTAGTTTTCGGTTCATAGTTGGAACCAAAAGCTTTGTTCTTCACTCTAAAATGATGCTCTTCAGTATCATTTCTGCTTCTTTCTGATTTTGCTGGTTCATAAAGTCTTTATGAACCTGTTTCTACAATGCACATTTCCCCCCAGTTTTATGCTGGCTTTCTCTTCATTTTAATTTTTTGGAAAATGGTTAAAGCAGTTTAGGAACGGTGCAAACAGGGACAAAAAGTTTGAAAGCTCTTCTCTAAACTGTTAGCTCCAAAGTGACTTATCTGATGCTTCTTTCATTAAATTTATCTTTGAGCACAGATCCCAATTATACATGTATATTTATTTATAAATTACAGGATGCAGTATGCTGCCAATGTATTATGTGTCTTCTATGACATCCACAAAGAGTTAAATGTAGATGAGACAGAGCAAAATAATACACTGAGATACATTTTAGTGACATGTAAAACCTTTTTCACTTTTATTAAAAACATTTCGCACCACTTGTCCATTTCATGAGGGTTAGTTCAGTTTAGAATAGGTGATATCCATAATTCCACTTAACTGTCTCATGTTGCCATAAGCCAGGAGTGTGTGAATGCTTGAGGGCACTTCCATTATCCCTTTCTTGTTCTGGTCTGTACTGTGATCACAGGATACCTTGGTATTGTAGGTGAAATGTGACTCTGTGACATATGACTCAGTGAAAGCTCCAGTATTAATCTGTATATTTAATACAAGTAAAATGCAATTTTCTCTTTTAGATTAAAAAATGTAAAATGAGGAAGGAGTATGGAGATTTTGAAAAGTCAGTTTACTTGCAATATGATGTCTTACAAAGTAAAAAATATAAAGATTGACAAAAAACAAGTTATCAAAAAAACTGTCTTCTCTTTTTGGAAGTATATTAGGATCCCTTTTAGAAGTATAGGAGTACCTGTTGGTCAGGATAGGGTAAGTTTTGCTGCAGTAACTAACAAACTTCAAATCTCAGTGAATTTACATACTAGAGATTTATTTCTTATTTGCCTAAAGTATGAAGCAGGTCAGGTGACTCTGTGGGACAGGTCTTTTCCGTGCAGTGACTCAGGATCCAGGATTTCTGCATCTTGATGCATGGTTTCAAAGGTTGCTACAGCAGGGGAAGAGAGTGACTGGAGATGGCACATTGGTTCTTTAATTCCTTGAACTGAAAGTGACATAATTGAAGGGAGTAGGAGGTGGAGTCCTGTCTTCTGTCCAGGAAAGGAAGGAGAGACACCTATATGGTGGATAACTACCAGTGGGGTTTTTATGTTTGTCCAAAAGTGGAGCTAGGTGAAATAAAGTTTGGGGAGCAATCTTCTGCTATTGCTGTTTTTTCTATTATACTGCTAGTGCTACCAGTAGACATTTGTTGAGGGCCTACTGTGTGCTAGGCATAGTGCTTAGTGCTTTGTATACATTATCTTATTTAGTGATTCCATCAGTCATCTGAAGTAGGTGCTAGAACTTTTCTTATTTTACAGATGAAGCATAAATGTAGAGAGAATAAGCAACTTGTCCGAGTTCACACAGTTGGTAAGCAGCATAGCTAGGGTTTAAGGCATTGGTCTATTTCATGCCAAAGTCTAAGACCTTAACTTTATGATCACTACCTCCTTAAAAGATCACTGAGCTGTGATTTAGTGTTATAGGAAGATCCTACTTAATACATGCTAGATGAAAAAATGACTCATTTTGATAAGATGATTAAGAATGTGATTTATTATTATCATTATTGTTTTTATTTTGAGACAGGGTTTCACTCTGTCACCTAGGCTGGAGTGCAGTGGTGCGATCCTGGCTTACTGCAGCCTTCACCTCCCGGGCTCAATCACTCCTCCCACCTCAGCCTCCCTAGTAGCTGGGACGACAGGTGTATGTCACTATGTCTGACTAATTTTTGTACTTTTCTGTAGAGATGGAGTCTCCCTATATTGCCCAGGCTGGTCTTGAACTCCTAGGCTCAAGTGATCCTCCCACCTCAGCCTCCCAAAGTGCAGTGTTATCTTGGTACTGTCACTTGTGCTTTTGCCTCATGATGTGTTTTCTTAAAATGGAGAAGAGTGGGGCAAGGGATTATGGACATCTAACTCTTTGGAATGGCATGATTACAGGTGTGACCCACTGCACCTGGCCAGAATTTGTATTCTTAACTAGGAATGTATTTCTTTTTCCTAGAGATGGTTTTTGTGCTGTTTAGGGTTTTCACCATTTACCATAACTTAATTTCCTTTTAGAGGAAAAATCATGGAAACTTTTTCTGTATGGAAGAAAGAAATACAAAAGAGATAAGGGACATTTGATTATGGTTTCTTATCCACGATAACCAGAGATTGCATCTACCAAGGTAATTCTTTCAGGGGTATTTAGATATTTAAAATTTCACTAACCTAAGTTCTAATGATTTAAAACAATTTGAACTGTTCTGTGTGAAGAGAATTTGGAAGCAGGTCCATTATAGGGTAGAGGTAAGGAGATTGAAGTACTCTTGTATATGAAGTTCATAGTTTTATAAATATAATGCTAACTAGCACAGCCCTTTCCTTCTTGTGTGCAGTATAGTCACGGGTTCCTGCACATCAGTTTCTTTGCAGTAGATTTTGAAGTCCTCATGGTTCTGTCTAAGGGAGCTGAACCCAATTCCAGATCTAAGGGAGGATGCTGAACTCCCTCTCTGTGTTACAGGGAGTGCAGGACTGTTTGGAACCTTGGGGCTAATGAGTAGGTGGCTGTGACCAAATTTCTTATTTGCAAAGGGTTGATACTCAGGTTCTTGGATGGATATGCCATCCCTTCCTCCATTCCCACTTCTCCTCCACCTGGTTCCCTCCAAGGCCTTAGCCACGCATCTCTACATGAATATAAATACCTTTGCTTTACTGCTAAGAGTTGCAGCACTGAAATTTAGAATCATGTGCTTGTTTGTATAAACCAGAGTGCACAGATGCAGTGTTATCTTGGTGCTGTCACTTATGCTTTTGCTTCATGATGTGTTTTCTGCAATTGGAGGAGAGTGGGGCAAGGGATTATGAACAGCTAATTCTTTGGAATGGCATGAACCCATAGTCCATGCTCTCAACGTCACACCTGTAGAACAATTGTGGGAGAGGTGAGGAGAAAGTATTGAGAATGGATGTTCTGCTGCCACGTGAGGTAGCCCCTTATTATTTTTAGTGGCCTGTGGTGTTAGGA